TTTAATATTGAGATGCATATTAAATTGCCTAAAGTATTGCAATTTATTTAGGATTTATGGGTTAGTATATATTAATATGTAAAAAAAAAAAAAAAAAAAATCCAAGCATGCTATGTATATTCATAAATTATTTTATTATAATTGTACATTCATAAAAGCATGCATTAAAGTTGGATTAACATATTATTAACTCATAAATTCATTATTAGAATATCATTCAACATAGATCCTTAGGCCAATTTTATTCACGATGGCCTACTAAAGTGGCTTGTTTTGGTTTCCCATTTAATTTTGGGCATATTTTAGTTCTACATTTTACTTGGGACTTTAAAACATATTTTGAACAAGCTATTTGGGACCTATATTGAGTAATTAAAGTTTGGATCCCACCATTATTGAGTGATATTTTAATGTTAATTATAGCTATTTTAGTTTGACTTATAACATGTTTATTATGGTAATAATATTGATTATTATGCATAACATGTTCACTAAGTCTTAATTATTACCGACTATCATATTTTGGTAATGGTATTCATTGTTGGTAATAATATTATGTTTGGATATATTTCAGTACTAGACCATTTTATATCCATGTCATAACTCACTTAGACCATTGAGTTTATGGGTCTAATTTGAGTAATTAAGCGCTATAATTATTGTTTTGGCTTATTTTGAGTCATTAAGGTTTAAATTATTACTTTGGCCATTAAGAATTACAACTATTGTTTAAGTTGATTATTTTTTTTTAATCTATCAATAGTTTTCAAGGCCTTAATAATAATATTAATTCCTTTAATGATATAGTAAGCAATATAGTTGGTATATTGTCTTTACAATGGTAATTTGATTATTACCATAATTTCAGTCTCCCTAAAAGACATTATAGTCTTGATTAATTATTATGTGGTAATATGAGATTAGCATTCAGTATCCCCTTAATTACAGTTTTGTCATTTATTAAGTTAAATTTGGCATTGTTAATTACTGTTATTAAGTTTAGGGGCTAATCTCGTTTATTACCTTTCATAGTAATTATTATTTCTTGGTAATCTATTATGTTTGGAAAGATTACCTATTTGGTGATTATTGTTACGTGACGTTGCATTGAGGTTACTAACGGTGATGATGGGAGAATTCTAGCACTATGGTTGATGCGGTTTGGATCATTTAAGGTTAGTCATTAAGTTTTTATCATTATTTTTTTGATAATTAGTGCTATAGTTATAGTTTGACTGCTATAATTTTGAAATTGTCACATTTTATTTCTTAAGAAAAATGGAAATATTAAAGAGGGTATATTACCATACTTTGGTTGTTATTACCAAATATTAATGGTGATTATAAGGTTATTTATTACCATTAATATTTTAATGATAACATTATTATTATGGTTTATTTATGAATCCTGATTTGTTTCCAATTATGTTTATGTGGCAATGTTTCAGATAAGAAATTTTTTTTTAAGGCAACTGACTATTGCCATTACTGTACATTTATTCCATAATTCATTTAGTCTTTTGAATTATGATTAATGTTATTGCCCATATTTGGTTAATTATGAATAAATGAGTATTTGGTGTATTTTTCATACTCTTTATATTGTTTTATGCATTTGGTCACATTAAGTGAATAATATTAAGTTTAATTATGCAATTAGGGTTTGTGAGATTTTGATTTACAAATGATAACATATACTTTTGGTTTGTTATTGTTATAATTTGTAAATTCAGTTATTTCTCATAAATTTGATCTTTATGCATTAAATATTTTGTCATGGGTTTACAGTTTACAATTCCAAATTATTGAAATCTCATATTGTAAATTGCTTTAAGTTATGCAATTTTTCTGCAATATATGAGTTTAATGTTTATTTTTTATGCTTATTTGTCCTAAGCATAATATTTTGTTTTAAATTATGCAATTTTTTTTTTATTATGCCTTTAGAAATGCATAAATTTAGGATGGAATTATATTAGTTCCTTATAAAGTTGGACTAATGCATAAACTTTAGTTGCGGTAGTGCCTGAATTTAAGCACGTTTAGTCCGTTAATTTAGTTCATCAATTTAAAGCCTTATCCATATGTGAATCTATAATCTTTAGATCTTCCAAACGATTTTACTTCAAATATGAGAACACATGACTTAGGGAAGTTTCTTGGGGAGGAATACTAGTTCTATGGCCCTGGCTTAAAAGCCTTGTTGCTACTAGTCCCCTTGCGACGCTACTCTGTCTAAGGAGTTGGTATTTAACCGAGCTTCGTCTCGACCAACTTTCCTGGGAGTATACCTAATAATTGTCTATCATGTGTTGGTTTAATTTGTTTGTTAGGCTTTAAATTCCCCTTTTGCCAAGTGATTACAATTTTAGATTAATTAAAGAGTAGCCTCAGCATCTTTAATTTACTAAAATTGTCTAAGGTTTAAATTACATAAAGATGGCAATGATAATTGTCTAGTGATCTTATAATTTTAATGAGTTGGGGAGTAGCCACAGCATCCTTAATCAGTTAAAATTATATATTAAGCAGTCTTGATCACATACAGTTTTGGACATATCATTTGTGATTAATTGTATGTAATATGATGGAATTTAGCCCACAGGCAATTTCGTTTTATTTGTATAGTTAATCAGGATGAAATACTGGACTACGGTCATAATTTAGCCCACAGGCAATTATGTATCAGAATGTAGTTTAGTAGTTTTATCAGTAATGATAGAAATAAATCAATTTTATTTACTTTATGGTTATTTGTAAATAATTCTCATCTCTATCATAAAGTTTAATTTTATGATGTAAATTTGAAATCATATTTCTTAATTTACCCACAGGGATTAAGGAAAGGAACATGATTTCTTAAGTTTTTTATCATAATAGTTGTAATGAATCTTATTGAGTAAAATTTTAGCCTACAGGCAAGTTTTATGTCAATTGATTCTTCAACTTATTTGATAATTGTTTCATCATAAAATTTCAGTTGAATCTAATTGAGTAAAACTTTAGCCCACAGGCAAATTTTATGTCACTAGATTCTTCTGTCTATTTTAGTAATTGAGATAACATATTATCATAAGGGTTTAGTTGGACTTAATTAAAACTTTAGCCCACAGACAAGTTTTATGTCAATAAATCCTTTAACCCATTACGTAATAATTTTATCACAATTTCTTAGAATTTATAAATTTAGTTCAATTATAATTCTAAGTTTCATGGTTTGCATTGGCAAAACATGTATTCAGTCACTTCCCAAAATTTAGCCGCCTTTATTAATTGCTTCACGAACTTACTTGGTTATTTGGATCAACTATAGTAAGTTATGTGATGTGATATACTCATATACCTCTTTTGGATTCCAAGACTAAAATATACCTTTTGAGCCAAATTTTAACTTGGTTTTGGAAGGTGTGTTTTATTATTTTAGTATGTCAACTAATGGTGGGGAATTAATATCTTCATTATTTAGTTGGACTTTAATTGGAACCAAAAATTGATTATTTAGTATGTCCAACTAATGGTGGGGAATTATATCTTCATTAATTAGTTGGTCAAATCAATTATGAGTACGTATATCATTAATTTTGTTAAAGAATATCTTAATCAGTGGGAGTGATCATTTAAAAAAGGATCATTAAGATACTCCATAATCAGTGGGAGTGATCATTTAGAAAAAGATCATTAAGATACTCCATTAAAGATTTTGGATTTAATAGGCTTCATACATCCTAAATTGGATTGTATGTCAAACAATAAGTCCAAAAGATTCCACAAGTATTAATATTGTATTTGTTCATATAAATTCATATTGGTTTAGCAACATATTTATGAAAATGTTGTAACAATATTGAGGAGTTTATTAGAACAAAACATATAACTTGTGGTGCACTGTTAAGTAATAAATTCTTCAGCATTTAATAGTCTTTAGTTTCTTCAAAATTGATCCTGGGCCATTTTGGTTTGTTAGGCTCAAGACAATTTTGAGAAACATAAAAGTAAGACTCATAATGTTCAGTTTATTTTGAGGTGGACCTTAAGATTATTTGGGAAGTTATGGTGTATGTTTAAGATTCCAAATTTATGGACTTAGAGTTTTGATTTATTGTCTAAGTTATTGGAATGGTTCTGTGACTTGACTATCTTTTGGCTATTTTGATGAGTGGGAGTGACAGACGTGTCAACTCCAAGCTCTTAGCCGTTAGAGGTAGTACTTATGTTAACTTATAAAGAAGTCATGGAATATATAGTTAGCATTATGCTAACATTAAGAGATCTCTACTTAAGGCATGCTTTTAAGGATCTTTGAGATCATACAGTGTACTGTTTTGTACAATTTGGATGATTTTCTCTCTCAAGTTGCGCATATATATTTTATTTTGAGAAACATCCCTTAAGGTACCAGGAATAAAAATAGGGTTTGTTCATAAATGATTCAAGTTTGGGAATAAAAATGCATGTGATCATAGGAGATATAACTCACTTATTCAGTAGAGGACATATTACTATGGTTCTTGTGTTTTGTTCTTTAATGCGAATTGTGCTAGTACTTGCACCAAGTGGGAGACTGTAAGACTTTCTCGTATAATATATAGTATATATTATGGGTTTTACTTATGTGGTGCAAGTGGACTAGGCCCATTAAGTAATTGGTTGGGTTGGACCTTTAGGTTTAAGTCTTATATCCACCCACTAGTACAAAATTGAGAATAGAAGTCCCACTTTACATGACACCTTCACAATAAAGGTGTTGTGGAAAACAAATAGTAAACCTTTCCGTGTCACCAATCAAATAGAGGTGCCTCGAAAATTATATTATTAAAATAATAATAGGGAATCCGCGACACCAACTGAAAATGGGTGCCACGGATGTTATATTATTAAAATAATAATAAAGGTAACCGCGACACCCGATATAAAAGGTGCCGCAGATATTTTATTATTAAAATAATAATAATGGTATCCGCGGCACCCTCTAAAGAAAGGTGCCGCAGATACCCTTATTATTAAAATTAAAATAAAAATATAATAATAAACGAATAAAATAACCCCCCTCGCGAACGCGATCTGAAAATCCCCCAAATCCCCCCAACACTTAGCAAAACGACTCCAAACCCTCCGATCCGATCCGTCACCCCCACGGCCTTCCGTCTCCTCCGTCCGTCCGCCGACCGTCCGGCTCCACCGTCCGCCCACGCCCTCCGTCAGCCACAGCAACGACCCTCGCTGCCAACCGCCTCGTCTCCTCGCCGCCAACAGCCACAGCAACGACCGCCAACAACAACAGGAACGCTGTCCGTTAGCCACACCACCGTCCGCCGGAGCTGCATGTAAGTCTCCTTTCGAATTTTTATATATGTATTTCAATTTTTTGGTTATTTATTTCTTCTCCTAGACTCTAAAATCAAACAAGGGTTTCCATTTCTCTGGCCTACCTCCAGATCCGGTTAGAGCTCAGATCCGGTTCTGTGGTGAACAGAGACGACGGGGGATGGCTGGGTTCCGGCGGTGTTGCTTCTCCTTTGTGCGGCTTCAGATTCATATGTGATTTCTATTGTTCACTGATTTCAGAAAATGAGTTTTTTTTTTTTTTTGTTTTTTTTTTTTTGTTTTTTGTTTTTTGTTTTTTTTTTTTTTAAATTTTACAAAATTTTCAGGCAGAATTCAGCAACTCTGTCGTGCAAATTGCTATGCAAGATTTTCATAGTCTCCGTATGTCGGTGTGTGGGTAAGCGGTAGTTGTATCTATCTACTATACGATTGAATTACATATTATGATCGAATTGAAACAACATTATATTGTATGAAGGAGGTCTGTGGGTCCAACTTCTTATGAAAATTATGAACTATGAATCTATGTTGTGTATGTATATATATCTTTTTGTATACTGCGTCGAATTTGTCCATGTGTTATTTATACGGAATTTTGTCCATGTGTTATTTATACGGAATTGAAGCTCGATTGATTTGATTAGATGTTAATATGTTATAGCATTTTATTATGGGGTGCATACTATTGTGTTGGATTAATTGGAAACGATGTGAATTCTTGCGTTCCTAAAGATGTTTTGGTATTTTATGGTTACCCTTTGATTATCCTTTTCTTCGATCCAAAGCTTTTCGTTATGATGTTTTTGAGTTTTTTGTTCATTGGTTCTTTACGATCATGTTTTTTAACCTTACCAATGGAAATTGTTTGTCACATCTGCCATAAATTGTAGCAATTTAATTCCTTTTAGGGGGCGTTTGGTTCAGGTTATATTATATAACCAAGGGAATGTGACATTCCCGAGCTTACATTCCTATGTTTGGTTCATTTTCTCTGAGGGAATATAACATTCCCAGGGAATGCAACATTCCCTCCACATAGGATTTTGAAGGGAATGTGATTCCCTTCATTTTGTTAGGTAATGTAGGATAACCTTGCATATTTATGAATTTTGTCATTTTAATTCTAATTATTTAAAGATATATATTTTATGTTAGCTTATATATATATATATATATATATATATATATATATATATATATATATATATATATATATATATATATATATATATATATAAAAGATAACCCTAAACCAAACATAATTATATTACATACCTCAATTTTAACCAAACACAGGAATCTAACATTCCCAGTAATCTAACATTCCTAAGGTAATCTAACATTCCGTGAACCAAACGGCCCCTTAGATCCTTGCTACAAAATTTGTGTAATAGACATTATAATGAGTATTACAACTATTGTGCAGAAAGGAATTTCCCAGTGAGACATGCTTATTGTCATGAAAATAGTTTTCTTATTATTTGGCTTGTGAGTATTTGGAAACAAGAATGGAGCATACAAAATTAAATTGGCATCAAATTTCTCTTCCTCTAATCTGTGGGTCCAACTTCTTATGAAAATTATGAACTATGAATCTATTTATGAGGTAGTAAACATGAATTTGCATGCATTTGGACTCAAAGTTGAATTGTATTTTATAATTTTGTGCATTTTTATTTTACATATTATTCAATGATCATTTCTTGCTGATGGGTTATGTGGTGTGCCTGAGACCTTCACCTTTACAATATAATACAGTACTCTATTACCCTGAAGAACAATTTATGATTTATCAAATTTTGCACTGATTCTAACAAGCTTAGTTTTATTTATCTTTTCACAGATGTCGTACTCCAAAAGATCAAGGTGTGTTCTGAAGTTGATATTTATATTCTCTCTCCCCTCTATATGTTGTCATCTCCTTCATTGTGCTAAATAATGCTAATTTTCCATCAGGTATTCACGCTCTCCTTCGTACAAGCATTACAACAGATCTGTCTCAAGGTCACTCTCTAAGTCCCCATATTTGTCTCAAGGTCACAAAATTTTCTGCAAATTTGTTTGCAAGTGAAGTACTTGTGCATTAAATTTGTCTTCTTCACCGCTTCAGTCCATTGGTCTTCAACAAGCAGGTATGCGCTTTTTGTCTGATAGATCTTAATTTGATTTCGATAGACTTCAGTTCTGACTAGGAAAGAAGTAAAGCCAAATGTAGAAAAATAAAATACTACTTCATTTTAGAATGCTGCTTGAAATTCTGAAAGGTTTTACGTATAAAATTATGTATGATCTATTGTTCATGCATAGAGAGTATAGAATTTACAACTTCACCGAGAATTCCAAACGATTTATGCTTCTGACATGATGGATGACCGGTGAACGAAAGGGTGTCCCAAGATAATGGGTGGGTTATAAGTTTGTATCCTTAGTAAGCTTGGGTGGGTTACCTAGATAATTGCTTGATTGATGTGAGAAATTGTTGTATAAATGTATCATCTTTGTCTTGCCTTAGTAGGACAATGCTTCTTGAGAGCCTGATCATGACTGTAGTCTCACAGAGCAATCATTTTTGCAACATTTGCAGGAGTTCTAGATTCTGAGGAGTTGTCCAGCATGATCAAAGGGACTGAAAAGTGTGAAGTCCTAGATCCTGAGGAGTTGTCCAGCATGATCAAAGGAACTGAGAAGTGTTAAGTACTAGATCTTGAGGAGTTATCCAACATGATCAAAGAAACTGAACAGGGTGAAAAGCATCTCCTGTCTGGGAATAATGAGGATGTAGAACAATCTATTGATTCAACTCAACATTTGAAGATGATGATCTGATACTTGAACAACTTGGGCTGAGGTTTTTGAGGACATTAGAGCTTCGATTGTAAGATCCAGCTAAGTTTTAAATGTAATGAGGCAGTGGATGAGGCTACTTCTGGCAATTCATATTTATTCCTTGCGGTAATCTTCTAATTTGGACATATTGGTTGCCAAATAGTTGTTTGAATTACTGCTCATATATATATATATATATATATTTTTTTTTTCACAGCTTTGAAGAAGGCAGACTGTACTTCTAAAAATGTGGTAAGTCCAAAGAAACAAATTGGTGGAGTGCAAAGCTCTGGTAAAATGGTAACCAAGGAAAACTCACAAGTCATGCAGGCATGTAATTTTTATTAGTGTTCATAGTTTATTAGTGTTGGTTTGAATTTGTTGTTGAATAGATAGGTTTAATTAGTTATTAGTGTTGTAAATTTGTGTGAATTTGGAAAATTCTGTACAGGTTTTATTTTGAGCAAATAAAATTAGTGAAATATTGTATTTTTAATTTTTTTTTTTTATAAAAAAAGAGTATCCGCGACACCCTTTGTGAATAGGTGTCGCAGATACACTTAATTAAAATAAATAAATAAATACTTTCCGCGACACCCACATGTGCGTGGGTGTCGCGGAAAGTATTTAATAATAAATTATTAATTAACTTTCCGAGGCACCTGTCACGCAGCAGGTGCCTCGGAAAGTCTGTATTAAAAAAAATAAAAAATGCTTTTTTAGCTTTCCGCGACACCTTATACAGGTGCCTCGGAAAGTTAAACACTTTCAGTGGCTCTGGAATCCGAGTCACCTGTACAGGTGACTCGGAAAGTGTTCTATAGGAGACTCAAATAGCTTTTTTGTACTAGTGACCAATGTGCCTATATAAAGCTTGTATTGATGGGATACAAGATGCATGAATATTATATGGTACTCATACTGCTCAGAAAATACCAATACACCATCTAGGGTTTTGAGTCAAGTATGAGACAAAACGGCTAACCCTATTCTGCAGATCTACCGTTCAAGAGGCAATACAACAGGATATCAACTATGGCTGGAGATCTACAGTGCTTCCGCTTCCGCTACTACGAGTTAAGTTTCTCGTAGATTATACTCTGTATATTTAGATCTCACATAAGATTGGTATGATATTCAGTTTTAGTTGTCGATACAACAATAAAATCTTTATATAATTTCAGGTTACCTTTTTTGTGTGCATATTAAACAACTTGTATAAAGTAGAGTTGCAAAACAAAAGGATGTTGACATTAACTCAATAGTAGATTCCTTGGTATTTTTCACATGATGCTTTGATTCTTGATTGCTTTGACAGAGCATGGCAGTTTAGTTTAACTATTTATCTTGTTATTTTTGTAAGTTGCTTAGATATTATGATTTCTTTAATATGTGTATGTCTTATATATATCTTAGTGATAGCATTCTGACAATTTGCATAGGAAAATAACCCTAAATAGCTGTCATTAAATTAAAATAACCATTGCATTGCAGTGTCAAATGGATAAACATACCCTAAAAACAAAATCAAAATAACATAAGTAGGCAGTGAAAATAAAAGATAAACAAAGCAGCAAAAAAAGATGATAATGTAGCAGTAACACACCTCCTGAATATGGAACACACTCTTGCCGTATAATGTGGTTTTCTCCCCTGATTTTAGTAACAACATAGTTCCACACACATCGCCTGTGTGGTATGCTGAGGATGAAGTTGTGCACCCACAAGAAACTGCCCGGATATCTCTTGAGGATGAAGTTGTGCACTCACAAGAAATTGCCCGGATATGTCTTCCTTGATCGCAGAAATGTGTAATTTGTTTTCCAAGTTTGTATTTGAGGTTGTATTTGAATAGAGGTTGAAGTCTCAACACATGTATCTTGTATATATAAGTGGAAATAAGGTACTGAAACTCGATTTGCATACCTGTCGCTGTATAAAATAAACTAAAATAAAAATCATCTCTGGCAATAGTACAGCAGCCCCATACCAGCTTGGTTGAAAGTTGAAACCACACGCTTCCTATCAAGAAGCATGTGTGGACACGCAAACAGGAAATGGGTCATTCCCCTACAAATATAGCCTGACAGCTTACGCTTCTAATCAACCACCAATTTAATAAAAAAAAAATTAATAATGATGTCATTCAGGTTGGGGTGAATAGATGAATTTGATGGACCTTCCACTAACGCAAAAGAAAAAAAGATGAAACAAAGAAAACGTTGTCGTTTTTCAAGGGCGGGAAAATGGATGAATCTCATTGGCTGAAATCTAGTGGCTTTTATATATATATATAGATATAGATATAGATTACTCTATCCATTATGTTCACACATGCATTATCTCATTACCTATATTGCATTATTGTTTGTATTTGATTTGTACGAACACACTTACACTTGTTCTCAATTATTGCTTAAGCAATTAGAAACAATGGTTTCTTCTTCTTCTTCTTCTTCTTCTTCTTGTTTAACAAGAAAAGCAAGAATGGCGGTTGCGATTGTTCTTGTTGTTGCCGTCTTTTTGGATAGCTCTTCTGCACAACTCTCCACCAACTTCTACTCCAAGAGTTGTCCCATGTTGTTTGGTACTATAAAATCAGTCATTAAATCTGCTCTAGACGAGGAAAAACGTATGGGTGCTTCGCTACTTCGCCTCCACTTCCATGATTGTTTTGTTCAAGTAATGCATTCATTCATTAGTTTCTACTTTAATCTCTATTTTATTTATATTATATACGTCATGAAAATTACAACATAATAAATGTACATCTTGTATAATTTGATTGATAGGGATGTGATGGATCCATTCTCTTGGACGATACCTCTTCCTTTAAAGGAGAAAAGACAGCTTTTGCTAATAACAATTCTGTTCGGGGATACAATGTAATTGATGACATCAAATCCGCGATTGAAAAAGTGTGTCCTGGTATTGTATCTTGTGCAGATATTGTAGCTATTGCTGCTCGTGACTCGACTGTATTGGTAAGACTTCAAGCCAATGAAGCTATCTCGATCTCCATATATACAAATTAGTTAACTATTACAGTACTTTATAGGAAAATTATAAAATGTCCATGGGGAGGCCTTTGGCACACCTAGTAGAATTACCATCTAAATTTTTAGACTTGTTGTCATAGATACGTAGTATGGGAGAAGAATAAAATTGATACATAGTATCTAAGTAAAACTTGAAAACATATATGATTGGCATGGTAATAAATTTTCCAATTAATTTTCATTTTTAATATCTTTAATTTTATCTTCTTATAGCTTGGAGGACCAAACTGGAAAGTGAAACTCGGGAGGAGAGACTCCAAAACAGCTAGCCTCTCTGCAGCCAACAGCCCTGGTGTACTCCCAAGTCCTTTTTCAAATCTCAGCGCTCTCATCTCAAGTTTCCAAAACCAAGGTCTTTCTACTACAGATTTGGTTGCCTTATCAGGTTCGAGCTGAGAAACAATATTTATGTTAATAATGTTAAAACGATATCATCCACAATGCATATATATACATATATTGGTGTCTACTGAGCAGTATGATTACCGTATTTGTATGTGCATGTTTATATTAGACACAGAGTCTGGTTGACTAACAACTTCTGATTGTTTAGTCCAACCTAACCAAGCTAGTGAACTTGCACCACTTAATTAAGGCCCTAATATATAATATACAATATATATTATTATGGAAAATCTTACATAGTTAACACTTTAATTTAAATGCATATGATCGATAAAAGTGGTTTTGTTTCATAATGCATGCGATAAATAGGTTCATACACAATCGGGGAATCTAGGTGCACAATTTTTAGGGACCGCATTTACAACGACACCAACACTATTGCGGCATCCTTTGCTAAGAAAAGACAACGGAAGTGCCCTAGAAAGACAGGGTCAGGGGACGACAACTTAGCCCCACTCGACCTTGAAACTCCTGCCTTCTTCGACAACAACTACTACAAGAACCTGATCAACAAGAAGGGACTTCTTCACTCGGATCAAGCTCTCTACAATGGCGGATCCACCGATTCGTTAGTCAAAAAATACAGCAAAAACCCAGCATTATTCAACTCCCATTTCGCTAGGGCGATGATCAAGATGGGTAATATTAGACCTCTAACCGGTTCCAGGGGTGAGATAAGGAAGAATTGCAGAAAGGCCAACTAATAATAGAATTCAGTAAAAGTGCGTGAGGTCGTGTGCATTTATGTACAAGTTTGCAGGCAGGTTCTCTCGGGAGAAGAAGTTTTTATTGGAACAATAAATTTGGTGTATGTTGTGATTTGAGTAGTTCAAGTGTAAAATAAAGTTAATGTGCTCTATGATGCTTGGTCATGGAGCAGCCCAAATAATAGGGTTGTTGTTGCTTTTTGTTCGTTGGATTTTGGCCGTTGAAATGTCAAGTGAAAACTATTAATTAGGAAAATGCTAAGTTAATATATATACCGAGGTAAAATATTAATTGTAATCATAATTGATGTGCGTGCATAAAATGGGCTAGGTTAATTTGGGCTCAAAGCTACGCTTATATATACCGAGGTAAAATATTAACTCAAATTATGTTGTGCAACTGAATGCACCTTGCAAGGTGCATACGGTTGCAAAACGGTGCCGTTTTGGTTAAAAAAACGCGCGTCCCACTTAAAGAAGAAATCAGGTTCGATTTCCGGCAATAACATTTTTATATATCCAGAAATTCATAACTATATAACCACAATTTCATAACTATATATCCACAATTCATAACTATATATCCACAATGAATGAATGAAGTAAAAATCCACAATGAATGAATGAATGAAGTAAAAATTCACAATGAATGAATGAATGAAGTAAAAATCCACAATGAATGAACTAAATATCCACAATATATGATTGAACTAAATATCCACAATGAATGAACTAAATATCCATAAATTCATAACTATATATCTACAAATTTATAACTATATATCCAGAAATTCATAACTATATATCCACAATAATGCTATTGCTGAGAGTCGAACCTGATTTTTTTTTTAAAGTGGGACGCGCGTTTTTAGTCAAAACGACGTCGTTTTGAACCGTATGCACCATGCGCATGGTACATTCGGTTGCACAGCATAACTATTGAAATATTAATTGCTAGATTAAATATGAAATTTTGATTTAGATAGTATAAAATGGGCTAGGTTAATTTCAGCTCAAAGCTACGCTTAAAACAAATGATATAAGGATCATAGGCTCAGATATATGTGGAAACGTGCTCACCATGCACATGGTGACCCACATGGTGACTATATGAGTAGATTTATAATTTTTATTTTGTATTTCATAATTTCTATGTTGTAGAAATTATGAATCTACAGTATAGAAATTATGACTTTACAGTACGGTATAGAAATTATAAATCTACAGCATTTGGTCCTATTTACTAAATCTTGAATCACCGTGATTTACATCCCCTCACATGCTCTGTCGGGTCGGATTGTGGGAGACTCTTAGAGTTGGGGATT